AGGGGTCACAGAAGTGCTTGGTGCAGTTGTTAGCATGATGCCCCGGGAGGAAGGGATGAGGGAGAAGAGGAAGGAGGTGAGCTGGGGTTTCTACCTTCTGCTCCACATTGGGCTAAGCCTTTCAACAGGTTAGCTGAGCCAATCTTCACAGCAATCCTGTACTGTGCCCATTTTACAGATTTCAAAAGCAGTACTCGGAAGGATGATCTAATTACCTTTTCTAAAAGTGCATGACTGCTAAGAGCTGGAATTTGTACCAAACTCCATGCTTTCCATTTGACCTTCCAGGGAAACACGAAAAACAGAAATGCCTTTGTCAATGTCTTTCCTGTCATTGGTAAAGCAAAAACCCACTTGTGGTAGCTGGACTTCAAGATGGCCCACTGACACTCGCTTCCTGGCTGTCACTCTTCTGTAGGCCCCTCCCACATTAGACAGGGCTACCTTGCATAAGCCGTAGAAAATTGTGGAAATGATGGCAAGATGGTCACAAGAGGCATGTGGCTTCCACCTTTCTCTTTATTGGACGGCTCGATTCCAGGGAAGCTAGCCACCGTGTTGGGAGGACACTCAGGCAGCCCTGTGGGGAGACACTGAACGTGCAGCATCACATAAGAGAGCCACTTGGGAGGCAGACCCCACGTCCCAGCAGGTCCTCAGGTGACTGCAAGCTTCCTTGGCGTCTTGACTGACACCTCGTGAGCAACCCTGGACACAGCTGCCCAGAGAGACCAATTCCGAATTCCTAGCTTGCAGAAACTATGACATTATAAATGCTTGTTGTTTTAAGCCATTGCATTTGGGGGTAATTTGTTATGCATCAATAAATAACAAATTGAAAATTCATGAACTTTTCATCCTCTGCTGAATCGCAAAGTCATGCTAATACTAGTGGGTCAGAGAAATCCTTCTAAAAAAAACATTCAAATTTGTATGCCTCAAAGTAGAAGTCTAAAATAATCGTCATCCAAGATCCTTCATGGCAGGAAACCTTAGGAGTTTAGGAGCAGAACATGGGTCAGATCACTAAGAGTTGCCTAAATTTCTCATTAAGATGACTAAGCACACTATTAGAATTATTGATTGATTGATTGATTGATTTGACAGGCAGAGTGGATAGTGAGAGAGAGACAGAGAGAAAGGTCTTCCTTTGCCATTGGTTCACCCTCCAATGGCCGCCACGGCCGGCGCACCACGCTGATCTGAAGCCAGGAGCCAGGTGCATCTCCTGGTCTCCCATGGGGTGCAGGGCCCAAGGACTTGGGCCATCCTCCACTGCACTCCCGGGCCATAGCAGAGAGCTGGCCTGGAAGAGGGGCAACCGGGACAGAATCCGGCACCCCGACCGGGACTAGAACCCGGTGTGCCAGCGCCGCAAGGCGGAGGATTAGCCTATTAAGCTGCAGCGCCGGCCAGAATTATTTATTTTATTTGAGAGGCAAAGAGAGAGAGAAAGAGAGATTTGCTAATTGCTGATCCATTCCCGAAATGCCCAAGAGACAGGAACTCAATCCAGGTTTCCCACAGGAATGGCAGAGAGCGATCAACCTTCTGCCCGGCAGGTGCACATCAGCAGGGGAGCTGAAATCAGGAGTGCAGCGGGACTGAACCCCACGCACTCTGACGGGGGATGCAGCACCAAGAGCTGTCCTAACCACTGCAGTGAGGTACACTTTGTCGGACTTCCGTAATCTTGTGAGAAGCGAGAAGAAAATAAGTCGATCGTACTTCTGAGTACTGAGCAGTTTTGTCTGGAACTGATCAACATCCTTGGGGTCAATGACTTTCCCAACTCCAACAACTCTTGGTACACAAAGTCGAAGCATCCTAGCATCATGGTTTGTACTGAAAATCAAAACGAGCTGTTGCTGTCAAGTCTACCTCTGCAGCTCCCCTGGCCTGGCAGGTGCTTTTCTTCTGCCCATCGTTCACCTAAACCAAAGGACGAAGCCACAGAGCTTCGGAGCAAAGCTGAGCTGAGGTCAGCGGGGCCTCTCCGGCTGTGCTCTCTGGATTGCCTAGATCCTCAGATCCCGCCCGGGCAGTCAGGGTCAGGGGGTCAATGCTACAAAGTCCACGCCAAGCCCCTTGGGTTGCTGAACTCACGGTCAGCACAAGAGGTCTCAGCCTTTGATGAGAAAAGACTATCTAATGCACATTTTCTGGACATATTTCATAGGAAAACATTTGTTTTTGAAGCAGAGCTGGTACAAGTTGACCCCAGGTAACGGTGGGCATTGAGGAGGGGAAGTGCAGAAAAATGAGTGGGTTTGGAGAGTGGACAGAACACGTCGATTTGCTGAACTTCCTTCTAGCAGGGTCTGTGTGGCCATGGCTTCAGGAAGACTGGCACACGAGTGCTGAAATTCAATTTGGCCATTGCTTGGCCCACAATTTGAGATATGCTTTTATTTAAAAAAATAAACAACCAAAAATCCCTGGTTAAATGGAATAGAGCACAGTGTTAGAGAATCAGAGCCCAGCATTCGCGTTCCAGTGCTCTGCATTATACTCTGTGTGCTTGGGGCATGGCTCAGGCTGGTTCTTTCCCCACCCCTCTGTCTCACAGACTGGGTGGAGGCCGTGCCCTCTTCACATCTCCAGTGCCTGGCAAGGCCTAGGAGCTCACAAGGCCCTTAATAGTTGCTGCCAGTGACCACAGAGTTAAATAAGTGTGCCTACGTCTTCACCCACGTGTGTCTGCTGTCAGATAATGAGGAAGGAGGTATGAAAGGATATGCCCCAGACAGTCAACACAGGGGCTGAGGGTTCGTGTGCAGTGCAGGGGAAGAGAATGGGTGGGCACAGGCCAGTAGCCAAGAAGAAAACACAGAGGTTGTGCTAAAAGTCTAGATGTCTATGAAATGTCATCTTGTGCGAGTATGTGTAATCGCTTAAGTAGATTAGGGGGAAATGATGATGTCTGTGTGCTAAGTCACAGCAAGTTACAGCGCATTCCAGTGAGAAACTACAAACAAAAGCCTCCTATGTCTCTGTTATATGTGCGTGTTAGGTGTGATGAACAAAAGGAAGGGTCTGTGTTGCGGATACTCTGTGGCTGCTGGCGCTGCTGGCTGAGCGCGGCTCACAGCTGAGTCCCGCAGCCAAAATGGGCTTCGCTGCCCCAAGTTGTGCCTCCCCTTTCTCTCGTGAGAGTCCACACCCAGAGACTGATCCACACAGGATCCAAAGGCTGGATCCCTTCTCAGTGCAGACAGCCAGCTCCGGGGTCCCCGCTGGCCACCTCGGCTTCCTGTGCTCCCCCACGAGTGTTGTGACCCACGTGGTTTGTCCTGTAAGCCTTCTGTGTGCGTCAGCCTCAGCCTGTTTCCCGGGAAATCACAGCAGGGTGGAAAGTCACATACCAGCCGGCGCCGTGGCTCACTAGGCTAATCCTCTGCCTGCAGCGTCGGCACCCCGGGTTCTAGTCCCGGTTGCTCCTCTTCCAGGCCAGCTCTCTGCTGTGGCCTGGGAGTGCAGTGGAGGATGGCCCGAGTGCTTGGGTCCTGCACCCACATGGGAGACCAGGAGAAGCTCCTGTCTCCTGGCTTTGGCCTGGCCCACTCATGACGGCCTCGCTCCCAAGGCTGCAGCCTCAGGATCCCTCACACCCCCTAGCTAGGCAGCCACTGCTCTACACAGGAGCATTCTTCCCCATGGCTCCCGCCTCCCCTTGCAGAGTGGCAGGACCTGCGTGCTCCCTCCACATCTGGGGTTCCACGAGGTCCTCCAGGGCGGGCAGACTCATTCAGGAACAACTCAGGTGAACGGCCCCCACCTTGGCCAAATGCTCGCCTCTGCCACCCTCAGACCCCACGAGAGGTTTGCAAATGCATCCTCTTTAGACCCCTGTAAATGATAACTCCCTGGAGCGAGTTCAGCAAGGTTTGTGAGAAGCCAGCCCTGGAAGGCATAACGGTCCAGCTACCGACTGGTTGACCGACCCTTGGGAAGCGGGCAGGAAGACGCCTGGTCCTGGGGTTGATGAAGGAGGCTGGCCAATCTGCTTAGGCAGAAGCACCTGCTGCCCCAGGTGGTGGAGCTTCTGCCCTGAGAGAGCTACACTTAGGCACTCATTGGTTCACGGGGTATTTGTCTGCCTCTTCTGTGCTGGCTTTGTGCTTAGACGAGAGCTGAGGCAGTTGAGTGGGGCAAAGATGCTGCCCGTGAGGGCTTGGGCTTCCAGAGAGAGAATGGCACAGAGACTTAGAGTCAACGCTGACACTCACGGGCCGGGATGCTCAGCGCACCAAGGCCATTAAGGAGAAGAGGGGTTCACGTCAGGTGGTTGGATGGGAACTTCTTGGGGGAGGTGTCAAGCATTCGTCACAATCTGATTATCTAAGCATGTTACAACAGCCACTTTTGGAGATCCCATATTTGTTACCTAAAACACCTTTCTGTAATCATCCTCAAGAAGTTTTACCTTAAGTAGTTATCATTTTATGGTAAAGCTGTGAGGGTGCATGAAAGAAAATTAATGAAATAAATAAAATTCTGGAGGGAAAAAATAAATAATGTAGTAAGTAACAGCTGAGGTGGGCATTTGGTGCAGTGGCTTGAGTCGCGACTCGGGATCCTGCACCCCGTATCAGAGTGCCGGGTTCCTCTGCTTCCACTCCAACTTCCTGCTGACGCGCACCACGGCAGGCGCCAGGTGGCGATGCCTCTAGTGCATGCGTCTCACCCACACGGAAGACCCGAATGCAGTTCCAGGCTTCCGGCTTCTGTCTGGCTCAGCCGTGGCTGCTGCAGGCATTTAGGGAGGGACCCAGTGCATAGAAAATCTCTCTGTATCTCACTCCCTGTCTCTCTTTCCAATAAAAAGGAAAATACACAATTTATGGACTAAGTAAAAAATTCCGTTTCCTCAGTAATCCACAGCGCTCACACTCAAATTTAGTGAAAAGGAGAGAGGGCATTTAGAATGGAAAGGGAAGCCGAGGTTTTTCATTTTGAACACTTAACCACATTTCTTCCTTTCCTCATTCCCCTTCCAGGTGGCCTGGTCATCTTAACCAGAGTGGACGCATCTGCTTGGGAGTTAGGGCCCCAGCACGCGCAGTAAAGACCCAGCGTTGAAGACCTCAGCACACAAGGTACCATCTCCCCCTGACCTTTTTCCATCTGTCACTCTGAGGGCCAGTGTGAGGCCGCCACCGGTCACTGCGTGTTCCCAGGCATCTGGGACTGCAGCCTGGAGTGGGGGGTGGGGGGGGGACAGGCTCTCTGAAATCAGGTGGTCGACTGCGTTGGCTCCTCTGGGCTTCAGGCTGCAGAAACCGAGCACCAAGGTTTTGGCTTCTCATAAAATATTTCGGAAATGCATTTCATGACACGGTCGGTCGTAAAAGTGTGTTACTGTACTCGGTCCCTCCAAGCGGCTATGCTGGATTCCCTGGCCGCCCGCGCCTGCACTGGGCCCACGTGAATCAGTACTAAATTATTCATCAGGCTGCCTCTCACATTTCTGGAGTTCCAAAACCCCTAATAAAGTATTATGAAAAAATATCCATCTCTTTATCTCTATCCATAACTATTTATATGGCTGGAGGAAAAACCTGTCATTTTATTTCTTTTAATTTAAAAGCTTTCCTAATTCCTTTTTCATACCGCATATATATGTCTAAAGAATTTTCAAGTTGAAATAATAACCTCTAAAAAACGGTCCATGGGAGAAGCTCTTAGGATCCGTGGAGCTGACAGGCACAATGAATATTTTGCTCCCCTAGTAACTTTCCGTGGCACTCAGACTCGATACGCTGGCACGGGAGCTTTCCACGCCAGCGTGGCCCCTTCCTACCGTGCAGGATCTCGGACCCACCAGCCTTCCGTATCCACCTGCACGACGGCTTAGGTTTGTTCGGCAAACGCTCCACTCCTGCCCTGGGCTCACTGCCGCCTCAGGCTCTTCCCTGGGCTTCTGTAGGCCCAAGACAAGCTTTCCAGAAGTGCCGAGTTCCAATCCACCCAGAATGCTCTCAGCTGACTTGTGTCTCCCTGAAAGTACCCCCAGGCCGTTTAAGACACCTGTGAGTGCTAAGCTCCCAGCATGCACCCTCCCATAAAGCTGCCTAGCAGTCATGCACACTGAAGGGTGAGTTGGTTCCTGGGGGGCTTCTAGGTCACCAGCTGCTCGAGATCAAGTTCTCTGAGCAGCAGCTGGGGTGCCAGCCACAAAAGCCTCCCTGGAAATGTTATGGTGGAGACACGCCCTCCACCAGCACCTTGCTCGGAGAAGGTACTTGCAGGCATGAAAGAACGTTCGAAGCACCGCTTGCAACGGGGGGATTGAACCCTTCAGCCAGAGAGCTTGTGCGCATGAAAGTACCTGGTCTCTAAACTGATTTCTGAATGCGGGTTCAACAGGGGTGTGAGATCTGGGTGCTGTGCCCCTGTGGTTGGCATCACAAGGACGCCCACGTATTTTCTGCCAGCCCTGCTGTCTGAGGTTTTTGACCGGGGTTGGAAAGATGAAGGAGGGGGCGCAGAATCGACTTCGTGGGGTCCCTGGGGAGCCGTACGCAGAAGGCAGCCTGGGGAGAGGGAAGAGCCCTGTAGATGAGCCTCCCGGTCACAGCTGGAGCCAGTCTTCCTCCAGGAGCCGGGAGCCTGCTCCCAGGCCTCTCCCAGGCCTTCCTTGGAAAGCAATGCACAGGCTGAATCGGAACATGCTCCCGAGCATCAAGAAGAGCCTGGTGTGTGAAGCAAGGCTCAGCGATGGCCCGACCGCAGCAGAGCCAAGTCCATTTCCGTCTGGGGCCAGCAAGATGCGAGGGAGCTGTCTGGACAGCACCAACAGCTCTCAGTGGGCCCAGGCAGGGGCCGCGAGACACTGCTGGCTCCCGCGAGCCTGGAGCTTCTTGGAAGGCTGCAGGATGCCTGCTGAGAGGTGGTTCTTAGAGGCACCCACTGCTCGGCTTGTCCAGTCTGCAAGGCGCTTCCTGGCACAGGAGCCTGATCCCCCACCCCCCACCCCGCCAAGCCGTGCCGCAGGTGTACGATAACCTCACAGGAGCTGGTTGAGGTCAGCTCTCCCCACGCACCGGCAGACCCCTTTTCACCCAGGCAGCTTGGTGCGGGGCTTGAAGAAGTTAGCCAACAGGAAGGCGGCCAGGACGCCTCCTGGCTCTTTGCAGTGCAGACCGAGGTGCATCACCAGGCTGAGCTGAGCTGCCTTGCTTCGCTTGCTTCCATCCTACTGTCATTCCCCGTGCATTTGCAAGCAGCTTATTTTAAAAGCTGATTAGATGAGCCCTTAATAACATTAGAATTTAAATGGCCCCAGATAGGCTTTCAGCTCCTTACCAAATTGAGATAAATGTGATATTTGGGGAGCTGAGTTCCCAGCTTTGTGGTTGCTCTGGACTGCAAACAGGTTCCGAAGCAGTGCCTTCTCCTGTGGTTTCTGCAGCCTAACTGTGTGTGTGTGTCCACACGATTCCATTTATCTCCAAAGAGCTGTGGTTCTCGGAGTAGATGTGTCTCCGTGATCAAGCATTTTCAAGGGAAGGCAAATTGGGCACAAGGGGCCCAGCAGAGAGTTCCATTTTTCAATTAAAGTAATCTGTGGGAAGACTTCTCTCTGCTGCCTCCCCATCCTCTGGTCACTTTCCGTTCCAGGCTATACGCTTTATTGAGCAATTACTAGTTAGTCATTTGATTTAGCATTAATGCTGCTAATACCTGGCTTATACCAAAAATGATATGACCTGGTCAGAAGCATGAGTGTTTCATCTCATGAATATATTCAGCACCCTCTGATGTATTCCCAGGGAGGAAAAACACACTGTGCAAGCCAAACAGGTACTAGCTTCCAATTAAACACCCTGCTACCAGATTTAGAAAAGCTGAAAACAGAATGGCAAAGGAGATGCAAACCACCATCACCACCACCCCACGCGACCATGAACAGATGGCTCAAGTTGAGGTAAATGTGTTATTCCAGGTACGGTAGTCCCCCGTATCCAGGAGGGCCAAGTTCCAAATCCCCCTCCCCCAACATGGGTCTTGGCAGCTGCAGATACTACCAAACCCGACCACCCTGTTTTTTCCTGTAATGCATACTTATGGTAAAATATCATTTCTGAATTAGGCACAGTAAGAGATTAGAAGTAACTAATAATAAAATAGAACTACAATGATACACTGTAGTAAAAGTTTTGCGAATGTGGTCTGTCTCTCAAACTATCTTTTTTCCTTTAATGTATGTCCACTTATTTCTCCATGATGCAAACTTTCTTCTGTGTAGTTCTATGAAGTTTTATAAATTCCTCCAGAGAGAATTTGGACACCTTTGTTGAATTTATTCTTATCTCTGAGACAATCTCAGACGTTCCAGAATAACTTTTCCCCTAAACTCTTTGAGAGTAAATTGGTACCTGATCTCCCAAATGCCTCCGTGCATACCTTCTACGGGCAGGGAGCGTTCTGTTTGCACAGCCGCAATGAAGCTCAGCCGTCTCTATTAGCAGTGATCCTCTGGTTATTACCATATAAGCCTCAGACCGTTCAAGTCTTATATTGCTCCCCAAATGGCCTTCATAGAAACAGGACACAGTATATGTATATGTACTTCAGTATCTCTCTCTCCCTCCCTCCCCTCCCCTCCCTCCTCCTGAAATATCTTGCATTGGTCCTTCTTGTGGTGACGTGCAAGGATACAAAACCTGTGTGACGAGACGAAGTGAATGGAATGACACAGGCATTGTGGCGTAGCCACTTGGAAGAGCATGCATTTAAAACTGATGAGTTGTTTATTTCCAGAATGTTCCCTTTAATATTTTCAGACTACAGTTGGCCTTAGGTAACTACAACAGCAGCAAGCAAAACTAAGAATGGGTTTAGGGGACTCCTGCACACACAAAAAATTGAGTTGTCTTTTCTTTCCATCTCTCAAACTAAGCCAGATACTTGGGTTTCTGCAGCTTCAGTCTTGCGACTCCTAAAAGCATGGTTTGCATCTCTGGACGTGGGTGGTCACTGAAGAACCACGCCTGAGTCTGAGCGTCCTTCTGCAGTGCTCAACACAGGTAGCTGCTCTTGCAATCTTTCAGAAGACAATCAACCTTGAGCTTGATCCTTGTGTTTGCAAGCAGGCAGGAAAAGACAGTCTGCCATGTCCTCCTAAAGGGAGGGGTGGGGGTCTTTCAGGAACCAGCCAGGAGACCTGGGCAGAGCTAGGAGCTCTGAACTCACAGGGTTGGTGGGGGGTGCTAAGGACTTTCAGGAGGAAGATGTTTGTAACCCATCTCAACTGTGGCTGCTCGGGCAACTACATACAGTTTGAATGTGAGTGGCTGCTTTGGCACCTGATTAAAAGCAAGGTTGAAGAAGCCCAGTAGAATGCAGCCCCGGGGCTGCAGAGCCTGTCCCCAGATGCCCACCAGGCAGGGCTGAGCTGGCCGTCCCATTCAGAGGTGTCAGAGGAGCTCCTAGCAGAGCCTCCATGCCTACCCTGCAACTTGAGGGAACTGAGCATTCCCTCCTATTGCAATCTGCTCAGCAAAATCCTCCCCTGTGTTTGTGTTCCTCTCTACGTTTCATGGATTGCATGTGAATGACGTGGTGGCACTGGGGCTGTCAACTGGAAGTTCACTTGCAAGCTCCCCTGTTCCTTTGCTAAGCCTGGGGCTGCACACAGAGAGCTCTGCCTGGTTTTGCTCCTCTCCTCAGACGCCTCTGTGCAGACTTTGTCCTTGATTGCCTTTGTCCCGGCACTCCTCCTCCTCCTTGCCAACTCTTCCTTGGCATCCCTGGTCTTTTCCTTACTCTCCTCTCCAGCCATGTCTATCCACCATTTTCCACACTTCTCGTTCTCACTTTCTCTAAGTTCTTTTTCTTCTGCTAATAAATAAGACTTGGTCTCCACTGAAACAAAACAACAAGCACACCTTCCTCTTGATTTCCGCCATTACTTTCTCTTATCCTGAACGCTACAGGAGTACTCTACCCTCACTTACTACCATTTTTTTAACCTTTTAATGCTATGGAAAGTGATGTATCTATGTTGCACAAAACCCAACATAATTTGGCAAACACGCATTGAGTACATACTATGTGCCATACCCAGTCTGGGTCCAGATGTCCAGGAAGATGA